ACGCCCTTTTCGTATTTTGGCTTCAAAGTGAAATTCCCGACTGTTCCTTCCCCTACCAATTTCTGTTCCTCTCTTTCTACCTAACACGAAGAATGGAGAAAACATTATGCTCTTCTGTAAACCAAAGAAATAGGCGTTACTTCCTTACCTATTCTATCCTTACTACCTCTTTCCTCCCTACACTAAACTAAAAGGAGAGACAATACCTCCCTCTCTTTCTTTTTATCATGCTTTCTCTCTCATACTGTGACAGACAGAATGAGTATAAAGATTAATATAGTTAATTAATATAGTTAATTTGTTTAAACAATTGTTGTTAAACAATTGAAAATTAAAAACAAAAAAATAGGTATTTATTTTTTTTCCATTTGCCTATGAATCCAATTGTTAGTTTTTTAATACAATGGCTAGTTTCTTCATGGGAGTTAATGGGTTAATATGACCGCGCAATGTTTGTGCGCAGATAATTTCATTTTTTAGAACGCTATGGACGATGATCCATATATTTTAATTGCCTTTATCTTATAACTTTTTATGCTTAACAATAAATGTGAATTTGTTCATATACCTAAAGTGAATTCTTTCCGTTTATCTTAAGGTTAAAATTATAACAAAATACATATAAACTTTAAAATTAAAAACAAAAAAATATTTCAAAATTTTTCCGTATAATCAAAAATCTGGATAATGGGGTCTCTATTGTATATTCAAAAGAATAAATGAAAAATTATTTCTAAAAACAGAAACAATACCAAAAACTGGGGCTATTAGGAACAGATTTCAACTTTAAAGTCTTGCAACTTTTTTGTGTATTGAAATATTGCCTTAATTTTTTGTTTTTTTTCTTGATCTTGGCGAGCACATTAAAGGGTTAAATAATTGCCTTGATCAAAGCTGGAATTTTAAGCAAAAAAGACGGATTTTTTCGAAATTACAAAATAGGGCTATTAGGAACATGGCGGTAAAAACCATTGGAAAACGTATTTAAAGTTAAAGAAGTTATTTTTTATTGCTTGAAAGTAAACACAGAATATAACACAAATGTAAAAACAAAACTAAAAAAGCGAATGTGTGTTTTAAACGCTGCTGGTATCATCAGTTGAGGTCGATGATGGAATCACTGGTCGTTTTTTGACTTGTCTCTCCCAACACTCTTTTACATTTTTGATCTATCTTTGAACACTAAAAACCAAATAAGGTGATAAAAACAAAATAAATTACGAAAAACTTACGTTTTGACAACACACTTTAACAATTCGGAAGAAATAATTGTGTTCCTTATATATACCCGCCGTTTGTGAATTTTGGTTTTTGTCTCGTAAATCTTACTGTAAATACAAAATAAACGTATTTATTACTTAGTTAACTCTATAAAGTTTCCCATAAGAAATCCCATTAATAAAAAACAATCACTTTAAGAAGTTAAAAATGAAACAACTTACCTCAGCAATCAAATGTTTTCCACGTTTGAAACTTCACTAAAACACATTAAGTCACTTACAAGCTACTATTGTTCACAAAATAATTAATAATCACAATTATTGCATTGAAAAGTGTTGCCAGTTACCGCTGCAACAATTTTTCAAAAGCAAGTAACACAATTTATTGATAAACGGCGCCGATAGCATCAACTCCAACCGAAAACAGAATTTTGTTCCTAATAGCCCCAGTGTTCCTAATAGCCCTAGTTTACGGTATCTTTACAAAATTCAATTATTTTTCTTCCTCACAGAGGAAGGATTGTATTAGCAAAATTTTCGATTGTGATTTTTTGACATAGGTATTTATAAACTTATTTTCATTATACCTAATCTTTTAGTACTTTATGTACGAATAGGCACTGCCCGTATAAATGTTATAAATAAATAAAAATTTCGATGTAATTTGACCTCCAAAGTCTAAGAAACGGATTTTAAAAAAATGTCCTGATGTGTGTATGTGTGTACTAACATTACATTTGCCACAAGAATCGGTGACATACACACACACACATACATACATCCGGACATTTGTTCCTCTCGACGAATTATATATACTACACTTGAAAATTTGTAAAAATAATTGATTCTAAAAAATTCGAAAATCGACATCACTATAAGGCTTCCTTTATGAGGAAGCAAAACAAAAAAAATGGTTTAAAAAACATTAGAAAGAACATAGTACAAAAACGCCTGTCTCTACAGCCATCCACCACTGTAAATAAATGAAATAAAATATTGGTTCATTTTCTAAACAAAAATAGTTAAATAATGCGTTTTTATTCTCCTAAATGTATCAAATTTGTAAAATTTCTGCGTAATTGAAAAGAATATGCATTTCTTCCTTATACACAAGCGAAAAAAGTGGTGGCCAACTTAGGACCGCTATTTCTGAAATGTCCAAAATGCAGCTTTTCACTATTTATTGTATTAAGACTACAAAAGCTATTCTATAACGTTCTAGATGCCACAAAATTATAGCAAAACGATCTCTAAACACTAATATATACTTGCCGAAGTGATTAAATTTCATTTTGTTACTATTTTCGACCAATTTGCTTAGGCGGCCAACTTAGGACCACTCTCCCCTATCATTCGAAAGATTATTAAATTCTAAGATTAATGATACATAACTAAAAATTTTAATAAAATATACAAAGATTGCAGCAATTGACAAATTTGACAAAAAAATTAACAAAATGAAATTTTTTTGGAAATTTTTTCAACTCTTGCATATTTTTTAAAAATTGCAGAAAAAATTTAAAATTCACATAGGTGTGAGCGTAGAATTTAATAAGCTTTCGAATGGTATATATGTTAATTTTCTGACACTTGTATTTACAAAAAAATCGTGATTTAAAGATTGGTATGTTTGTGGACCGGACGCGTGCAGCCGTACCGATAATTTCCCGACGGTAGTGTAACTTTAGAAGTATCATTACCAACTTGTAGAGCATTAAAAAACGCTTCGACTGACCTATTTTTAAACCTGATTCGATCAGAAATGATCAAATTATTGGTATTTAAAAAATCAAAAATTGTGGAAAATATAATTTTTTCAACATTCTTGTTTAATAAACAAGTTAATTATGTGTAATTATTAAACTATTATAACCATCTTATAGAATATATAAAAACACATTTATTAGACCAAGATTTAATGATTTTTAACCCTTTTTATTAAAAGTAATTCTTATATTTCAATTATTACTATTTCTATGAGGAAGCAAAGTGTTCATGAAATGAAAACGAAAATTATAAAAATGTACAACTTGGCAGCGGTTTTAATAATTTATTTTCAAAAAGTTCTTTAAATATTTTCAAAAATAAAAAATCTAATTATTTTCAACATAATTTTATAAAATTTCAATTATTTTGAAATTTTTAAATTGTAGGTATATCTAAAAATTCTACTATTATTATCCACAAAAAAATTTGAATAAAATTTTGTCAGAATTTTCAAATAAAATTATTCAAAACTTTAATAATTTTTGAAGTAAATATTTAAAAATTATTCTTTATTTTTCCAAATCAATTCCAGATTGTATATAACTTTATTTACTCTCCCTGTAAATGTACAGGGTTCGAGGCTCAACAAATACATAATCCTTAAATCTACTTATCTATTTACCTTACACACTAACGCAACTTAATATCTAACCATACATCCCTACCTAAATTTACAAACTAAGCTTAACCTATTTTCAACCAGTGCCAGTGCCAGGGCTTCCGTTTCCAGTTCCATTATGCTCTTTTGGCATCGTCTTATTTACTTTAATTCCCCCCAACGTTTACGGTATTACAATAAACCCTCTTTCCTCTTTTCTCTCAAACATTCCAAACCATTCATCCATCTTACGCCTTGACCACTTTCATCCAATATCCATATAACCCTCTCCCCTATACTTCTCTCTTCATTCATTCCTCCATTACATCTTTCTAAAACATGTTCCCAGTCTTCCCTTTCATACTCACATACTCTGCATTTCCTTTCATCCTCTTCCATCCAATATTTACATTCTCTCATTCCTTCCCCCATTCTAAATCTACAAATCCTCCCCCACATTTCACTATTCATTCTTCTCCTCAAATATTTCGGTATTCCCTCACTTTTCACTACCCTATACCACTTATTGTACCTGGACTCTGCAATCTTTTTCCATCTTTCCTCCGAATCCTTTCTTCCCCACGCCTCCGACAAATACTTCCCTTTTCCTATATAATTTCTACCCTCTTGTATTGCTTCCTTCCTTTCTTTTTCCCATCTTTTGCACCCTCTCTCCCCCTCTTTAATTAACCCCCAAAATATCTGCGCGATTTTACTTCCTCTTCCTTGCTCCAGCTTTTCCTCAAACTTTTTCGCCCTCCTCCTCTGTTTTATTACCATCTTCTCCCTACCCAATTCCTCTCTCAACATGTACCCCGGGCAATTCCAGTCCACCCCCATCGTCCATCTTAAATATCTCTCATGCATACTTTCCAACTTTCCAATCTCACTCCATCCCCACACTTCCACTCCATAACTCACTATCGCCCACACTAATGCATCAAACAACCACACTCTCTTTTTCCAATCATCCTTAAATCTCCTTTTCCCAATTCCCCATACTTGCCCCAATGCCTTACCCCCCTTTTCCACCCTCTTCATCACATTCAAATCCTGTTTTCCATTACTCATAAACCAATACCCTAAATAACAAAACTCATTCACCTCTTCCACAATCCTTCCATTCATTTTCCATTCCACCTCATCATTATCTTTCTTCTTCCTGAACCTAAGCACCTTCGTTTTCTCCACATTCACACATAGATCTTTTTTTCTTATATATTTCTCAAATTCTTTCATTAACAGTTTCATTCCACTTTCATCCTCAGCCATCAATACCACGTCATCCGCATATGCCAAACTATATATTCTTCCATTCTTCAATATAACCCCTCCCTTCCCTCTTTTCCTCATTCTCTCTTCCAGATCCGCTATCAACATATTAAACAGTAATGGACTCAGGGGGCAGCCCTGCCTCAACCCTCTACCCAACCAAACGTTGTCACCATTTTTCCGTTAACCCTCCCCAAATTCCTATTCACTAAATAATTCAGGACAAATATATTGTCCATCGTCCCCATTTCCCTTCTGAAGCCAGTTTGGTTGTGCGGTATGCAGCCCAGCTCCTCTACTTTCTCCTCCAACCTCCTTCTTATGACTTCCGCATACACCTTATAACCAACTGGCATCAACGTCACCCCCCTATAGTCCTCCACCCTTCTTCCATCTCCCTTTTTCATAATCGGTGCTATCAATCCCGTTTTCCACGTTTCCGGCCATCCTTCCCCCTTCCACACCAAGTTCACTATCCTCCACATCTCTTCCCTCACCATTTCTCCCCCGTATTTTAAACTCTCTCCCTCCATTCCATCTTCCCCCGCCGCCTTACCCCTTTTCAATCTTTTAATCGCCTCATTTATTTCCTCCCTGCTTACTTCTGACTGCTCCACTTCTACATCTCTTCTTCTCCCCTCTCCTCTTATTTTACGCTCCATTCCTCCGCTTAATCCTTTAAAGTAATTCGTCCAATCCTCCATCCTGATGTCCCTATTAATCTCTTTTCCCCTTTTCCTTTCTCTATTAATCACCTCCCATTCCTTCCCCTCTTCTATTGCCTTCTCCACCTCCTTTAGGAATCTCTCTCTTCCTTCCTCTCTTTTCCTTCTGATCAATTTTCCGTGTTTCTTATGCCTTCGGTTGTACTCTTTTTTCTCCATTTTACCTCTTCTCCATTTCTTTATATCCTCTCTTAGCTTTTCCCTACTCTTTTCGCATTCTCTATCCCACCACCCCCTTCTGCTTCCTGCTTTTCCCTCTTCTTCATTTTCCATTTCCTTCTTCACTTCCCCAATTATCCTTTTCAACCTTTCCCATCGATAGTTTACTCCTTCTTTCTCCTGTAACTCGTGCTTCTTCTCTTTAAGTCTCTTTTCAAACTCCATCAATCTCTGTTCGTCCCATTTTCCCATTTTATCTTTCTTGGTTATTCTCCGCCCTGTTTTTTCCATTCTTTTCTTCCGCCCTTCAATTTCTACTATCAGTGGGAAGTGTCCTGAGTCCGATTCGTTTCCTACTTGCAACTTACTTATCACTTCTTTAGTTTTTTCGTCCGCTATAACATAGTCAATCACGGTCTGACCTCTTCCTACAAATGTTATTTCCCCATCCATATCCCTCCTCGTACACCCATTACAAATAGACCACCCTCCTTCCCCTATTATACCTAACATTTTTCTTCCTTCTTTGTCCACTTCCTTATGTTTTGAATTCCTTTGATACCTTTCCTTCTCCCCATTCCAACATCCCCCACCTAATTCTCCCGTCCATGCATTAAAGTCACCCCCTATTATTGTTAACTCCTCTTTACTTTTCTCTATCCATTCCTCCACTATTCTCCAACCCTTATTGTCCCCCCTTCTTCTATATATCCCAACCACGTTTAAATTTTGCTTTCCTATTCTGATTTTCCTAACCATACTATCTTGTCCCATCCATTCATCTCCACTTATCTCCTTTATGTTGTCCTTTACCCCTGAGATCATCCCCCCAGAACTCCTACCCTTTAAGTGATCTCTTTTAGCCTCCTGTATCTCCCACTTATATCCTTTCGGTAACTTTCTCTTTATCCCTTCCCAATCCTTCCCCTCTACCCAAGTTTCGCTCATAATTATTATATCCCATTTTCTCAAATCCCTCCAAAAGCCCTCCTCCTTATTACTCAACCCCGAGACATTCCAAAAAATTAATTTAATATTTTCTGTTTCCCGACCCCACTTTCCTCACCCTCCCTTATCTCCCTCCCAAACCCCCTCCCCTTTCTCTCCTCCACCACATCTTCTGTTCCTTCTTTAACAATCCATTTTGTTCCCTTAATCCATAGGCACTCCCTTCCCCAGTTTACTATATTGCCCTCTCTTCTTTCCTTCCATGCCTTCTCCAACAGCAATCTATTAATGGTTCTTTCCCTCCTTGTTCTATCATCCTCTATTCTTACTTCTGTTCCCCTTAATTTACTCTTTGCCCTCATCACTTCATGCTTTTCCTCCTCGCTCCCCAGTTCCACCAACCACAATCTTACTTTACCCTCCTCATCTTCCCCTCCTACCGCTTTCACTTCTCTAATATTCACTTCCACCCCTATGTCTTCCAATACCTTTTCTATCCTCTTTCTCCCATTTTCTCTATCCACCTTTATTCCTTTTATCACTATGATTTTCCTCTTACTTTCTCTTTCCATATACTCCATTCGGTTTCTTATCTCTCTTACCTCCGCCTTTAATTCTTGTATTCCTTCCGTGCTTTCCACCTCCTCTCTCTCTTCTAAATTTTTAATTCTTTTTTCCATTCCCTCTAAACTTTCTAACCTTTCCTCGATCCTTCCCACCTCCTCCTTCCTTTTTGCCTCTTTCTCTCTAACACCCTTCTCTAAGCTGCTTAGTTTTTTCCATACATTTTCTTTTTCCTTTCTCCAGTCCTCTTCATACTTGATCCACATTTCTCTTATTTTCGCCATTTCTCCCCATACCCCTTCCATCTTCTTATCTATTCGCATACACCTCTCCTCATCTTTTTTCCTAGTCTCTTTCAATTCTTTCCTCACATTTTCTAATCCTTTTCTCGACTCTTCTCCCATTCTCTTTAACATACCCCAATTCCAGATTGTAATTATTTTAATTTTTAAAAAACCCATTAAAAATTCTTCGTTTCTAAAAAATTACAACTGTAACTCTTTGAAAACTCAATTATTATTTTGAATTTTTAACTAAAGTTTCTCTATAAGTCAATTATTTTTAATCATTTTTCAGACTGTTTTTCAAAAGTTGGATTATTTTTAAAAACTCTTCTTCTTTAAAAATAATTCAATTATTATTTTCTATCCAATTTTATGAAATTCTAATTATTCGAAAAAATTTTAACCAAGTGTTTTAATAAATTAAACTATTAAAAAAATATTAGCAATTTTTTTCTAAATTTAATTTTGTCAGAATTGTTACTTAATTATTCAAAGATTAGTATTTTTTCCAACATCAAGTTATTTTCTAGAATTTTTAATTAAAAATCTTTGTTAAATCAATTATTTTATATAGTTATTTTGAGAAAGTTCTTCTTCAATTCAATTGCTCAACATGAAAAATAAATAAAAGTATGTTTGAAAAATTTAATTATTGATGAAAATTATTTTAAAAATTCAGAATTTTGTTTTAATATTCATAATTATTTTAAAGTTTTTTAAGAGGAAAAGTATTTCATGACAAAATTTAGTTCTTAAGATTTATAAAAATTGACACATCTGTGTCAATCCTAAATTAGAAATTCGAATTGAGAATGATTTTAGAAACAGTTTGTCGAAAAACACGAGCGCAGATAATTTTTTCTAATTTTTCAGACGAAATTACAGAAGAAGACAATGTAAATCAAACGAATTTCTCTCTCATCACTCTTGTCTTGGTCCATCACCTGTAATTTGAATTTAAAAATTTAATTATTTTTAACTAGCAATTTAAATATTTAATTATTTTTAACTAGCAATTTAAATATTTAATTACTTTTAACAAGCAATTTGAATATTTAATTATTTTTCATATTTATTTTAATATTCAATTTAATTTCTAATTATCAATAAAAGGGAAAAAAGTCAAGATAATATTTTCCAATTTCATAATGGAGGCAGTAAATGAAATTATAATATCAGTTAATTTAAATATTCAATATTATTTTAAGACATAAGAACTAGGTACTCTTAATTTGTTACCTTAATAAATATTCCAATGATGGAAAAAATTATTTTCGAAATATACAATTTAATATGAAAATATTTGGAATAAAAATGTATTTTCGAAATATTTGTAATTTCGTAAAAAAAATATTTGGAATTAAGTTTCTTTGTATGTTCTTATATTTTATGTATTCATCAAAATTACAAATAGTACCCATATTAAATATTACTTTTAATGTTTGTAAGATTTTGGAATCAAATCAGTGACTCATTTAATAATTTTCAAATGTCAAGGCTCGGATATGGGATAGTCTTTATTATTTCTGATCTGAATATTAATGTCAAAGGCGAACAAACTCAGTTTCCCTTTTTATACAAAGTGTTGAAAATAATATTAAATATGAAAAATCAAACAATAATGTTAAGGAGAATATATTTTTTGACAAATTAAAATTTTTATTTGCGATTATTATTCATTTTAAGTCATTTATTTATATTAATTTTATTTATCCATATTATTAATAATATTATTAATAATATCTCAGAGGTAGTTTCTCGAGCGCTCAGAATGCTGGGCTTTGTTATGAGAGGTGCCTCGGATTTTTGTAACAAAGTTGCAATTAAAGTTTTATATTTTACATTAGTGAGATCCATTTTGGAATATGCCTCTGTAGTCTGGGTACCACTCTATACTTTCAATATAATTAAAATAGAGCGTGTTCAAAACAAGTTTTTAAGATTTGCTGCTCGGCAACTCAATTTACCTTTTGACTGGAACACCCATGAATACGGTAACTTACGATCCACTTTACACATCCCATTGCTTACATCTAGGTTCTTATACAATGATATGCTTTTTTCTATAAGTTATTGAATGGATTTATTTACTGTCCTTCTTTGTCAAATCTCATAAGTTTGCGTGTTCCGACTAGATTCACTAGAAACAATCATTCGTTTTTTGTAACTTATTATAAAACTAATTTTGGTAACTTCTCAATACTTAATAGACTCCATAGAGAGACAAACAATGTATCTTGTAATATTAATTTTTTTGAAAATAATCTTTTGAAATTTACCTCTCAACTACGACAAAATCAATTGTACTTATATTTGTAACGCACGCCTAACTTTTATAATGCCAATTTTGTATAATTAGTTGCTAGTTGTAACTTAGATTTTAATTATAGGGCTTGACCCGTATGTAAATAAATAAATAAATATTATTAACAAGTTGTGAATCCAAATGTTCATTACATGAAAATTTTGTTTCCTCTTTACGATAAGCAAAAAAATTTGCCTCCTCGTTATAATTTTTAAATAATTTGAATACAATCTAACATTTATAAAATCAAGTTCATTCGTCTTAATGGAAAGAATAAAATTTTATTATGCAAAACATAATTTTAAAGAAAAAAATGAATATTTAATAAAAGTACGAATTTTTTGGCTATAATTGTGATTAATTCTATAAATTTAAATACAATATATGGGTGATTCTCCAAAAACCGGTCACTTTTAAGTTGATAAAATTTTTTTTTTAATGTTTAAAAATTGAACTTTCTTTTATTAATTACTATTCATTGGTATTTAAATAAACTATATCGACGCCCCCCGACTGTAAAATGTTTATTCGAATCTCCGTGCAATAAAATGTTAACTCAGAAATTCGTGCTGTATAATTGTTTTTAAAAATTTCATGCAATATAATGTTAACTCAAGTTGCATTCAATAAAATGTCAATTCAACCACCAGTGCAATACAATGTTATTTAAAATACTAAAATTTTTATTTCCACCCTTTAAATTGTATGAGGTTAAATTAGATTATTAATTTATTTATTAAATTACTTAAATAGATTGAAGTTGCAACTGTTGACAGCACAATAATATTCGTATAGTTCCTCATTTATGGGTTAAGTTTTTATAAAAAAAGTCAGTAATGCAGAATGTTGAATAAAAGATTATTTTTTTATGGTGAAATATCTGCATAGTTTTCCACTCTTTAGACAAACAGTTTGGTTTTTCTTCAGCAGACCAATTGGTTGAAAAAAAGAGTTATTATATATGTACAGCGTTAAAAACTGCTACAAAATGGAAAACTAAATTCAAAAAAGGGACTGTTAAAGTAATTTTAATATTTTTAAATATTTATAATTTTAATAAAAATAGTTTTCAAAGTTAGAATTAAATAAATTTTATTCTTTCATTTTCCTAATTAATTTAGTATAAGTAAAAAATATTTATAACATAACTTTTTCACTTTCGCAAGAAAAATTCACTAATTATGTTTTTCTTTAACCTCATATAATTTAAAGGCTAGAAATAAAACTTTTAGTATTTTCAATAACATTATATTGCACTGGTGGTTAAATTGACATTTTATTGAATGCAACTTGAGTTAACATTATATTGCATGAAATTTTTAAAAACAATTATACAGCACGAATTTCTGAGTTAACATTTTATTGCACGGAGATTTGAATAAACATTTTATAGTCGGGGGGCGTCGATATTTGAAGTAGGTACGCTACAAAACTATTTAAAGTTTAAAAATATTAAAATTATTTAAATTTGACCAGGATCATTTTGAATTTTTTCACGTCGCTCTTTTTCGACATTGGTTTTTTTCTGTTTGTTTAATTATTCTTTTATGTTAGACAATCCATATCAACTATATTTATTTTAAATTACATTTATTAATAAACATTAGTTTTCGTATAATTAGCACTTTTCGCGTAATTGAAATGAGATGTGCAAAATTAAACAGGCAAACTAACCTCATCAGAGGCGTAACATCGAGGGGCACTGAAATTCATATTTCTTCTATATAGGTATTATTAATTGAATTAAATGATTTATTTTTATTATTTTCAAAATTATATTTAAAAATATATGAACAGATTAGAAAAATTTTAACTTTATCACCTATTTTAAAAAAAGTTTTAGGCAC